GACGTGATTACCATTATTAGTGGTATTTTTATTAGTATCACAATTACTATTATTATGACGTCGTTCTTCCCCTTAACGTTCTTCCCCTCCGCCTCTCCCGTCCCACCTGACGCTGACCATCGATGTCAACATCACCATGGTCATGATAATAATGGTGACGATGGTGGTGGTGGTGGTGGTGGTGGCGACAATGGTGGCGGCACTTGGACACGGGGACCGCTATCCTGCATCGGATCTGCGCTCGATTTAGACTTGGGCATGTTGCAGTATCTGCAGTGGTACGACATGACGTGCAACGAGTGCGGCGGCATACGGTCCGACTTGTGTCTCCACTGCACCCAGGCCGGCATACGAGCATGTGCCACACCGCTGAACAGCTGCACCTGCAACACCACCATCAACACGGACGCCGCGAGCAACAGCAGCAGCAGCAATAGTAGCAGCAGCAGCTCGAGCTGCTCTCTGGCAGATGAGCGTTTTGATGTGTGAGTATTCGTGAGAATGTATGTATGTGAGTGACTGGTTGCGTGTTAGTGTGCGTGTATTCTGCCCATTGTCCTCCTCGTCGCCCCTTGCTGATTGCTACTGCCGTTTCAGGGGGTCTAGTTTCTGGTCCAGCTGCTGCTGGTCTGGTCGTGCTGCTGCTGTCATCCACTCGACTCGACCCGCGAGCCCTTTTCCCCGAACCGCGCCACACACACGCACATACATGCATGCATACACACATACATACGCACATACATACATATGCACGTCCCCGTCCACGCAGATGCTCCACCTCCATCAACGCTGCCTGGCTGGGCACCGACCGGAACAGTGCCGTACTACGCACCGGACCTCAGGTTCAGAGGCTCAACGCCTACTCCATCACGGGGCTCTTCAACACGGCCAGAGACAAATTCACACAGCTGGTGAGTCTCGGGGGGGGGTTAGGGTTTCCTGGGGGCAAGAACGAGGGAGGCAGGGGGGGAGGGGGGAAAAGGGATTCAAACGGGTTGTTGAGGAAAAGAGATGAAGTTGTTCCCTTGTGAGCGACGGGGAGGGGATTTCCCCCCCCCCCCCCGGGTGCAGCAGCACCACCTGGGTACAAGCACCGACCTTGTGGGGGCCCTTCACACCACAACCATATGCCCATAACACCAAGGCCGCGAAACCCCTAGGGAGAGAAACCTAACACTACAAACCAAAACGGTTCCGACTCCATGCTCATCCTCACCCTCACCCTCATGTCTGGCCCGTCTCTGAATCACATGAACCCCCTCCCCTGGTCTTCTGGGGTCCAGAAAAACTTCGCGTACACAAACGTTCTGAGCAGTTGGAATGCCGTCAGCAGCGACGCACAGAGCCAGTACGTGGACTTCGAGGGCGGCATCACACAGTACGACAGGAAGTCGCCGCCGCCGCCTCCACCGTCGCCGCCAAGGCCGCCGGCCCCGCCGCCGTCGCCATCTCCACCTCCTGGTCCGCCGTCGCCGCCAGCGCCGCCAGCACCGCCCCCTGCCCCGCCGTCGCCGCCAGCGCCGCCAGCGCCACCCCCTGCCCCGCCGTCGCCACCGACACCGCCAGCGCCGCCGCTATCGCCGACGCCTGCAGCTGCTCCTGCATCTGGACGCCGACTTACGCAAGACGAAGCCGGGACGGCTGCTGCTGCTGCGGCTGCAGTGCAGGACGCAGCGGCGAAGGAGCAGGAGCCGGAGGAGGCGAAGTTATGAAGCGTGGACTACCTTCAAAAGGACATTCCGCCAAAACCCATTGGGCCTGAGGTGGGCAGCGGTCCCACAGGTTGGGTACGGGGAGGAAGAGGAGGAGGGCGTGGCTTCCCCGCGGCTAGCGAGTGGCAAGTGGTGGCTTTCCTTCTGGTGTATGGAACTTTCCTCTGGCCTCCATAAGGCCCCCCTGGTGTTCTGGGAGCGGCGACATCGCGGCGGCGGTCAGGCAATCTCCCTTCTTCGTATCACCCAGGTACTCCAGGGAGGCCTTCCGGAGGGGGGAGAAGTCGGGAGAAGACCGGATGGGAACACTCAGACCCGGACGACTCAAGACTCAGCAGTGAATATAAAGAGCGGAGAGGAGCCTTGGCGGGGGCTGCGTTGTTGCTGTTGGTCGCGTTCATGCCTGACGGCTCGTCGACAGCTCTCCTGGTGGTGGTGGCGATGGCGGGAGAGAGAGAGAGAGAGAGAGGGGTATTCGCGCTGTTGGAAGGCAGGGGCCTGAGGATAGACGGTCTGTGTCCGGAAATACGATATTTGTCACAGTTCACAACCAAGTATTGTGCGATGATCGCAGCAGCGACCTTTGGTCGTGTGAGTGCGGGTGTGCGTGGGTGAGAACGTGCGAGAGTTCTTACACTTTCCTAGGTGTGTGAGGGGAGTGGGATGTGGATGGAGAAATACAGTGCCGCTGGCGGGTTGCTCCCTGAGCATGGGTCTAAGAGATGTGTAAACAGGCGATCATGGACGGCGTGTGTGTTGTGTGTGTATGCGTGATTTGCCGAGTACCTGCTTTTATAATCCCGCAAAGAAGGTATATTCGTCAATACCCATTCAAGGGGTGAATCTCTGCGGTCTCGGTGGTACCTCTGAATATGCTGTTGTATTGTATCACCAGCACGGAGAGAGGCCGGGGCCGTTGTCACTGTACGGCTCCACTCTTTCTGAGCCGCAGCGCTGCGAACATCTCCAACGCTATCCCTTGAGGTGCGCTTGGTGTGGTGAGTCCCATGTCCTTCCTTGATACGAGCTACGTTCACGGTTGGAACGTGAAAATAGCTGCGCGCATACATGTCTCCGGTCATCGGTTACAGCGTTATTTCAAACGTTATTTGTACATCGCACGTCGGCAAGATGGCGGCGGCGGGCGGCAAGATGTCACAAAGAAGCCAATCTTAACACAGTCCTTCCAACAATACTTTGTACGTCCTCCACGGAGCACCGCGCCAGACTGGCTGCCTGCTAACAAATCGACATGAACTGGGACCGTAGAGGTTTAAATGCACACACACACACACACACACACACACACACACCTCGTCCAGAACAACCAACGCACATACAAGAGAGCAAACACAAAACAACCTTGTACGCTGCAACTCCCCTCCCTCTTTCTTAGCCGCGCAGCCCCCCCACCTCAAGCAACCCAACCATCAGCCCTGTATGCCACCACCAGCAACTGTTCTATCTAACTATACAGGGTTGTCCCCTTTAGGATTTCCAAAGTCTTCCCCTTTGCCAATTAAGTCCAAAGCCGGGGCCGTACGACAAGAGCTGCCGCTATGAACAAGGCCTGTACCAATCCACATACGCGGCGCATCTCCCTGAATGCCAGGCAACTTGGGGCCCTCCTCTTGGTTTTCATGTACTCGGTCGCACAGCCGATGGTACTGCTCTGTTCTGCTCTTATACCAGCCGACCGACGAACCAGCGAACAACAAAAGGCAGCGCAACTTCACCCACCAGACTGCCACCCTCGCAGGGCGCCCCCCTCCCCAGCCCGTCCTCGCACAGCTCGCCGCCTCCTTTGTCTCCAGCTCCCCCTTTCCTTGGCGGCGGCGGCGGCGGCGGCGTCACTGAGCCATAAACCAGGCGCGATGCAACCGCCGGGCGGCGACAGGGGAACAGCTTGCCGTGTCTTACAGGAGCAGCACACACGTCGCCTCTTTCAACCCACATTTCCCTTGCCTGGTCTGAACGTTAGAATGTGAATGTCCTATCCACTCTTAAAACTAACAAATGATTTTACTTACACATTTGGGTATTGATAACGTAACAAGGCGAATTCAACAAAAAAATAATTTCCTGGAGGGAGTCTAGAAGCAGGTGGTGTGCAGATTCCCAGCATCGCACCAGCACCTGGTAAAAAAAGGGCGGACGGTCTGCGTTCCATCTGCCCTCTTGTGGCGCATTCCCCAGACCCTCTCACCTGCCGTACACTTGCGTGCACCTAGTCCTGCTTATACGGCGACGCGTTACGCTTCTTCCGCTCCTCTACCTCCCTGGCCACCGTCTCCCAAATGGTTCCGTCGTACACGCCGCGAATCTTCTCCTTGCTGACGAGACCCTTGTGGTCGCGCAGTAGCTGTATACGGCATTACAGGTGGTACGGCAGGTACGACGATGTATACGGCAGGTACGACGGGTATCGACCAATCCTTTAGCGGTAACAGTTGGACGAGATGCTTTTACACAGCAGTTTGTGCGTTATACCCAATACACATACACACACACTACCCCGTTTCTCCCCCCCCCGCCGTCCTTCCCCAATCCTTCACTCACCCGGCAAAATCCTCTATCCCTGCGCCAGTGTCAGCGCACCCCACGTCCTTTTGCCCCTTGCAGCTCTCCCGCCGCACATCCCACCATCTCCTCCTCCTCCCACCACCGACCCCAACTCCGAGTCCACATCCACACGGGGGTGCTCGCATCCAGGAGCTCTACCTCCCTCTCTGCGTAACACCGTCCCACCCCACCCACCCCGACCCGGAGCCGCACACCCTGCCAGCCACATGTTATGTGATGCGACACGCGAAGTGGTGGTAGTCCCTTTCGAACTATCTGACACAGGCACACACACACATCCCCCCGACCCTACCCTACCGTACTTTGCCTACCCATCAATTTCTAATTCATTTTCCGATGCCATAACCCTCCTCACCCCTCACCCTCACTCCGCTCCCCCCACACTCTCACCAGGTAGGTGACCCACCACTCCAGCCGCTCAGCGGTCCTTTGAAGCGAGGGGGCAGTACAGAGAGAAGGGGAGAGGAGAGGAGAGGAGGGTGTGCTTTCAAGTACACAAAATCTCCTTTTGGAAATCCCTCTTCGTAATAAAAAAAGAGGGTACGCTGCGGGTGCTGCAAGTGTGTGCGAAGTGCGCCAGGGAAGCCAAGGGAGGAGGTAGGAAAGGAAGTGGGAGCCATTGCTACTTTCGCCAAATGCCAACATCCCAACATTCCCCTTTAGTTCATCCCCTTCAGGGGAACTTTAGCAATCGTCACACCAGAGCCAGTGCGATGAACAACGAGGGCAAGAAGTCAAACAGGGAAACCCGAATCCTGCATGCGGCACAGCGGCAAGCTCGCCGCCTCGAGCTGTGCCCTCGCAGCTTCACTCCCCTTCGCCCCCAGCCCCGCTGATTCTCCGCGCAGCAGCATACACACACACACACACGTATGCATACACACACACGCGCCCACAAGCCCCCCCCTCTCCCACTTCCCTCCCTCCGCCCAAGTGGGGTTGCCGTACCATCCGACCGGGTCGTTGATGTTCATGTGACTGTAGACAAGCTCCTGGATATCCCTCCACCCCAGGCCGCCCTTGTTGTCACGGTCGTACTTGGAGAACAGCTGCCGTACAAGCATTGCAGTACGGGCGTACATGCCGTGGCGGGGGGGGATTGCGAGACGAGGTCGGAGATGGCAGCAGCTTTATCGAATGGAGCAATTGATGTGCGTCAGGCCCCAATAGCGCACAAACATACATACGTACGTACAGATGTATATATCCGCACGTATTAGCCATGTGTACGAAGAGTTTCCCTTAACGAACTGCAGCGCTGCTAGCAGCAGCTTAGCAGTGGCAGTAGCACTTATCAAGGCGTGCCGCAACAGCCCCATTGGACGATCAAGATCCCCCCAAGATCCCCCTTCCCCCGTGCACCCAACCCACCTCCTCAAACTTCTCCGGGACAAAACGACCCTCATTGTCGTACACCTGTCGTACACAAGGACATGCCAAGTCACGGCAATATCGGATGATGCAACTGCGTCGAAAAACACAAATGGAACTACGAGGGTAGAAGTGCACGGTACACGTACGGTGTTCCGACTTCTACCTTCAAACATGAGCTTTGGCACATTACTGTTACAAAGCCCTGTAGCAATTAACTTCCACACACGCCGTTCCTCCCCCCTCCTGAACCCCACACACCCCACCGCCTGAACCACACACACGTACACACACAAAAAAAACTCCCACAGCGCCACCGACCGACCCACGGACCCATCGCAGCTCACCTCGCTGTCGGAACCGTGCTTTGTGCGGTGGATCCTGTCCAGGTAGATAGGCAGCCGTGGATCCGGAATCCAGGATTTGAGGGTGGGGTAGGAGAAGGAGAAATGGATGAAAGGCACTGCCAGAGCGGAGATCAGCATGTTGAAGCCCAGCCGGCGGAAGCCTGCAACAACTCAGTAACAGCGAGAGGGAGCGAGAGGTGGAAAGGGGCACGACGGTCGACGCACCACAGACGATTTTGACGAGAAGAAAATACCCAGAAAGACGGATATATTCTCCTAAACGCTGGATAGGACAACAGGGGGGCCGAGGCTGACCGATGACCGCGGCAACAGGGCGTTGGCAGGAAGGCTGGCAAGGGGTCCCCTAGCAGCCTATAGCTGCTGAGGTTAGCTGTGCTGCGCTGCGGTTCAGCTCAGTTCAGATCTGGGCTAGCAATCAAGGATGCGCCAGGCAGCTGCTCGAGTGCGAATGGTGACTGGCAGCAGCTCTGGGCGGGAGGGACTTGTGGGCCTAGGTGGGATGGCGCGAGGTGTGCACGTCATTAGCGCGAGGGACGGGTGGTGCGAAGGTTGAAGGGGTTTGATTGGATTGACGGGCTTGTAGGGATAACAGGGGTCCGGGGCCGCGACCTGCACATGGGGGATTGATGGCTGTTGGCGGGTTGTCGCAGCTCTATGCCGACACGCCGACACATCGCCCGATACCCGCGCAACCCCCCTACCCCCTAAACCCCCCCCCCCGTCACCCCCACCCACAGGACACCCACCCACGAATGTATCGATTGGCCAGATGACCCCGTCGCTGTCCCTGAGGGCCCCGGGGAGGAGAGGGGGGAGAC